TATTTCGACATAGCTACTGGTGGACAAGGAATTAAATAATGGACTTGGCTCTCCGTGCGCTGGACAACATGTCAATCTCTACCGGGAGTGATGATCTACTAGAGAAGTTCACTAACAACTACCACTCAATCCATGCTCTTAGTGGACCCTTGGCAAGTAAACTCATTCGTTCATGCTTCGAAGCATCTGAAGACATATGCGCACAAGTGATGAGTTCAATCGGTGTTAATGATGAAGCTAAATCGTCCATCCATTGTTAACACTGAACATAGCTATGCTTCTTGATGACGAGAAGTTCTAATATTGTAGTCATTTTAGTTTTACATAAATTCATTTATTTGGGCATTAACTTATTCTTATAGAGTTACGGTAGGGAGAGTGTACTGTGCAGTCTTATGCGGCTGTGAGACAGGGATGTTGTTTCGCGTTCTTTTGTAATAATTACCAGTTTGGCGCACTCGCGATTAGTCACACAGACTGAAACGACCGAACTACCAGTATTCGGTTTGAACGCAGGACTGACGAGCCGAAACATATTCGAATAGGCCAGTCTACGCTCTTCTGCATAGACCACTAAGCGTTTTTGAGACACCTGTATTAAATTATATCAAAACACAAATTCTGTGCTCAATTTATACGGTTCTAATTTAGGAAACAGAACAAATTATATAAAAATACAAAATACCTCAAACAGTACAGCCTGTGCTATACAGTCAGAAGTTTCTCTAATGCAAACTAGCGCGCTGAACAACAAAAGAAACAGTCAGTACCAAAGAATTCAATACCTGAGAATCAACAAATATATTCCTAACAAACGGGATCAAATATCTATCTGCAGGGAATCTAGAAATCTTCCCAAGCAGACGGTCAAAAGGTTAACAGTCACACATGGAATCACTCTATGACCTTGAGCTTAGTCAAACACGACCTTACTGTCAATAGTCCGGCAACATGCAATAGAAAATTAGGTAACAAAAATATAAGTCTTTGATCAAAATCACATAATAAAAGCTCAAACGAGATCTGAACAAAGGTTAAAATATATGACAGAGCGAAGAAACAAATACATGAAAATACTGTCCAACAAAAAAGGCCGTGGAGGGATTTTCATCGTTCTTTTCCCGTTATGCAGACCGTTTACCAAACACTGCAGCCTTAGACATGGTGTACAGTTACCACTTTCAAATTTTGCGCGATACATCTTTAACCAGGATCAAATTACGAAAGCTACGAAAAAGACCGACGAACATAAAGTGTGGTTTACAAGAGGCCTGAATAAAGACTAAAATACAAGACAGAAATAAGAAAGAAATAACTGAGAACACTGCCCAAAAAATGCTGTGGAGGGATCCTCAGCATTTTCCTACTGTTACAATCAGTGACAAACTTTAGTAAACACTAGAAATATTCAATGGTACCACTAAATCCTCATTAGACACTGCTATATCCTCCGAAAATTGTTTTAAAACAATAAATTCTAATATCAACTAAGCTACAAAAACCCATAGGGATGTATTATGTATCAAAATTCTTCAGTACACTGCACCAAATGTATTCTGCATTTGAGGAAGTGCAAAGTCAGTATAAAAACCTACACAAGCAGAGCGACGCACTGTGCTCACTAGTGCATATGAACCTCGAAATCCACGTCGTTTCCTTGGAAGGAACATAAGAAAGAGTTTAGATCACAACGTTTACTTCATACTGTACGATAATCTGACGCATTATGACCAAATTGTTACATGTGAACTACTTAGTTAATAGTTTTCCCGCAACAGGAATAAATCTCATACTCCAGATTATGATATCAACTGCATCAGTAAAAATAATCTTAGTACCACTAACTTTGATCTCAGTAATAAAATCAGGAAGGTAACGTATGTTATCCCCAAATGCGAATCAGGACCGAAAAACCTAATCCAGAACTACAGACTTATAAACATCAACCCAGTTATATCATGCACAATGGAAAAATTGATACACAATCAATTATCTGATCATCTATTTTAGGAACGTCTAATCAACCCGTTGCAACAAGGTTTTATCGAAATAATGTCACGCACTACATGGCCGACAGATTCTTTAATGAGGTTGCTCGTATGAGTGACTAAAAGCCACTAATGGTTATACCGAATTTTGATATCAAGAAAGCTTTTAATAAGATACTTCATAATCTCCTAATCCACAGACTTTAGTCGGTCGGAATCACTAACTTTCTATTGCGATGAATGAAATCTGTCACAGATGGACACTCAAAGACTAAAATGAACTCCAAGAAGTCTACACTGTGACCAGTAACCAGGAGTATATTCTGGGTTAGCGTCTCCAGTCCACTGTCTGTTGCAACCTACATCATCAATATATTCGGGTGCTTCAACAATTGAGAGATCTGGAATTACGTTTGCGATGTACAAAGTATCACGTGAAAAATCCAGTATGAAATCAGCAAAGATGATGACTGGTACGAACTCTGAAGCTTAGAATTGAACACAAAGGAATGTGGCTAACTATGTAACGGAGATGTCTATTAAAATATATACAATAAACACACCGCCCACAGCCGCTTCACGAACTGACCTTAAGAATAATTACTAGCCTAGTCTAAACATTCCAGAACATATCTTTACTAAAGGTTTAAAATTGACTCACTCACTGACTATCAGCCCAGATGGATAGTTATAGTAAGCAATAGCATGATGCAGAATACCTAACGCTCTATGTAGTATGAGTTATTAATTAGATAACGTTTCTGCTCAATTTATATTCATGTCATAACTGCATAATTTACGGATTGTATTATACAAAGTTTTTGGTTCAGTGTTCGCCATTGATCTATGAAATGTCGTCAACTTTAATGCTGGGCTCAGATAGATTCGACAGACCGACCAAGTTAGCCAAGATACTGGTGCTGTCTCGTGTTCCTTTGATTATTTAACTGTTACTACATAAGTGTCACCCTAATTTCCTTCATTTGCTTTTCATTCGTTATAAGACTATTTTTAATCGTATACAATAATGAGTTGTGTTAATTCGTTAATATATGTAAGTGTTCATCCTTAGGGTAAAAACCATCAAAGTGCTCTATAATCACTGAATGACTCATGGTGAAAATTTAATCTAATCAGTTTAGTCGTAATCAAGTGTACAAATGTCGAAACTAATCCAGCTAAGGTCTGCTCAGAAAGATAAGTCTTAAAAGAGCATACAACAAGGAACAACGGGCTGGAGACTGATCAGTGACACCATGGAGTGCCAAAAAGCTAGATAAGTTAAAATAGGTACTACTTTCTGTCAGATATGCTGAATATTTGTGAATATTTTGTAGTTTCCATCCAGTTGATGGATAAAGATAAGGTTTAACTTAATGCTCTCGATTCAGAAAGGTTCTAAATTTAGTTGTTGACATTTTCGACAGTTAGTCGCTGAGTGATGCATAAGAGTATTGCAAGCTAAGTAGCTCTAAGATAGCAAGCAATCGTCCAGTAGACAAGTTATGAAAATAGCTGAGGTTACATGTAGGATACTCATCGAGAATGACCAAACTATGGTTATCCGCCGTACCAGAGGAAAGCAGAGTAAGTATAATACATCATTAATAACCAGACTACATAAAGAAGCGAGATATTTGATGTATGACGAAGCAATCATAGGAAAGTCTCTGGGCCAGCGGTTGACATATCGTGCTAATTTCAACCTTCTGTGTATTTTCTGTGAATATGAATCATGGATTTTTATACGATGCGTTTCATGATGGCTATAAATTCAATGATGTAACTGATAGGTTGAACACGGGCAATAACAGATGCCAGATGTCTGTAAATTGTATCACCGGGTACTGCAACAATGGAGTTGCACGATACGTGATTTATTATGACATTTTTAAGTCACAGTGCCTGCATTAAAATTCCACCAGTTATGCAGAATAAACAGGAATGTTCTGTCGCTCATTATAATTATACCAGTGATATGACTATCTTATAGCTCCACTAGAGCATAACGTCACCCATAAGATAACAAACGGATACTAACCAAGCAAATTCGACGTGACCTGGACAAAGGGGTGAATTAACGTGATAACGTTTGATCAGGAAGTGTCCATGGAAGGCAAACTGATACTGTTGAACCTTGTTTGATTCCATTAACTAGTTTGCTCGACTTTCATTACATCAACAAATTCTGTCTGATTAAAACAACCTACAGTAGGCTCCTTTGTTTTTAATCAAACAGATTAAGTGCTACAAAAGAAAAAGATGAAATACAGAATAAAAGAAACGACAAACTATGCACTGTCTTCGAGGAATAAGTGAACATTTGCAAGTCTGCTACTGGTCTTACTCTCTCAAAACGCGTCCATATAATTTAAATAGGAATCGACTAAGAAGCTACCTGAGGTATCATATAAATTTCTCGAAAAGTCTGCACGTCATTCCTTTTATTATCATATGCTCCATCACCTGAAACAGCAAGACAATATCCATAAAATTCAATATTTATACTCTTATCTCTGAAGGTGCCTATATGTTTATGAATGTATTCTGGGTTTTCTGGGTTAAAATATATCACATTTATCGCAAAGATTGTCGAACCCTTCAGAATTTGAGCCTCTCAAAACGACCCGAATCTGATCGATCTTTCTAGCAGCGTATTTCACAATGAAACAACGCCTTATGTTGTTTTATTATGGTAGTAACATTGTGATAAGTCCATAGTTGTGATTACGGTTTCCCTCAGAAATTCACTGTTCGGTAACCAGTTTACGGTGTGTTCTTTGGTGAGGGTAGTAAGGGCTGAGTCCATTAAGTGTGGTTAACTGCTCCTCATTCATTATTTACTGTCACACAAAACCATTTTTGTCTTTTTTACAAGACAGTCAACTAAGAAATCGAATTTAGCTGCTTTCAGATTACTTCCCAAATTATCAATCTTTAAAACATTTCAAAAATTATTGAAATTTATATCTGAAATAATACAACGCTGGCTATTTGACTGTCGGTACTTCTGATTTTGTTTAGCAGCAGTTCGTTTGTTCGTATAATTGAAGTTCACCTGACTGTTGGCGCCAAACTGGGTACGTCCGTTGTTCTGTCATCTTGTTTTCTGGACAGGTTATTTAGTACTATTTGTCATCAAAACATTTGTATAGTGGTTGGCTGTCTTTTATAGCATTTTATTCACTTTTAATGCCATTACATATTTGATATAAGCCTGCTTACTACGAAGTACCTACTCTTAGATTAGGTGACATCGTTGTACTCATTCTGTTGTGATACTCCCTGATCAGATTTTCTAGTCTTTAAGTCCAAACTCTTAAGACTTCTAAAGCTTCTGCTTATCATGTGGTTTCTGACTAGTTAAGAAGTGAACTGATTTTTCCGAAATTCATTAAGTAATAATGGTTTCAAAGTTACCCTGTAAGCGGTTGACACTTGCAAATGATAATGTTAGCAATGTCCGCAACGTTTTTGTGGTGTAGATTGTAGTCAAGTCTTACTGTACGTGAATTACAGATGGGAATTCTGTAAAGCCACGCTTTTGCCAGTAATCCTTGAAGTCAATAGTTTTGCCTTAATTTCTAAGCCTAATAATAGTCGTTCTTAACTAAAACAAGATAAAGAGGCATCTTATTGTTCTTCACATATAATCACTGGTTTAAATAACTCGGAAAACGTGTGTCTATAGAGCCACAGTCACTGGGTACGAAGATTATTCTCGAGATTTGGCTTAGGATTCTCTACTTCCGTTCCCATTAAATAGAAATGCCCCCTTCCACTACGCTTTTGTCGTCAGTTAATCCTAGGGTTGTTAGGTTTACGCTGTTTACCTGAAAGCTTTATTCAGCACGTGCATGCCACTATTCTGATTCATCTAGTGATATGGTGTTGAATTTTTCCTGCCGAAATGAGCTTGTTTTCTCCATAGTTTCTGAGTGTACATTGAAGCATACACAACACAAGTTACCCGATGTAGATCAAAGTTCATGATCTAATCACTTTATTTAGTTTACTGAATTTTAGTGAACAGACATTCTAAAGAAACGGATCTGTAAGATGCTTAAAATAATTCGGTTCCACAACTTGCTGTTTTCAACATGAATAATAAACGAGTCTACAAAAGATGTAGAGTCGGTTCACTTTATGGAACAATCAGTAGTCCAAAAATTAGTAATTTATTCCAAATCATAGGGAAAAATGAACAACTAGGAATATTGTTCTAGAACAGTAAAAATTTTCAGCTCTAACCAGACACATATGTTTAAATCTGGTATATGTGAAAATGCCCAACTGTCTTGCAAATAAAGTGCGGTTTTTTAATGGTCATGATACAATTTCCAGCCGGTAGGTCACAAGCTTAAATCCCACTTCATTTTGAGTACTTGGTAGTACTATTACACCACAGAATATGGCTAAGTTGAGTAAGTAAATCTACATTGTACGGGTAATACGTGACCACTAATGGCTTCACAGAAATCGTCTGAATTCGTAGCAGTTGTGTTATTTCAGTTAATCTCAGATACATGGATTCAGTAACTATTTAATTGAAATGTTTTGTTTCCCGGTATGAATATATAGTAAATCTTGGCCATTATTTTTCACAGTGATGACTGGTGTTCTAAATAATGTGTCTCACGTTGGCAACGGGACTTCTAATGCTTCTATTAAAGCAGAAGTAGAAGACGACATCCCTTTATCTGAAAAGTTAAAGCGAAGTAGAATGCATTCATCATCTAGCGATGACGATGATATTCCTCTGTCTGCCAAGTAAGACATATTCGCTAGCTATCTACTTCATCTCAGATTAGCCCAGATGTCCAAAAAGCCAAAATTGGAACCTCCAGTTTCTCCACAGGTAACTGATTCATTTTTCTAATACAGCCATAGCCTCGTAATAAAAGCCAAGGTGACCAACGAAAAGAACATTCAAAGCCATCAAATGAAAAGATCAAAAAAGAAAATACACTTAGTTCTCCCAGCAAAGTTAGAAAGCATGAGAAACCTGAAGAGGAAGTTTGGAGGTGGTGGGAAGAGCAAAAGAAAGATGATGGTGTCAAATGGAAATTCTTAGAACATAAAGGTCCACTTTTCGCCCCTCCTTATGAACGCTTGCCTAGCTCTGTTCATTTTCACTATGATTCTAAACCTATCAAGTTATCGGATCATGCAGAAGAAGTTGCAGGGTTTTACGCACGTATGTTGGATCATGATTATACCACAAAGGAAGTGTTCAACCACAACTTCTTCCGTGATTGGGTGAAAGTAAGTAGTTTGTGTTTCATATCGGATTCCGTTAAATAGACAATGAATGAAGAAGAACGCCGAACCATTAAATCCCTTAGCAAATGCGATTTTCGCGAAATGCATCAATATTTTTTAAAGTTAAGTGAAGAAAGAAAAAACCGAACTAAGGAGGAGAAACAGAAAATAAAGGAAGAAAACTTACAAATTCAAAATGAATATGGGTACTGCATATTGGACGGACACAAGCAAAGAATCGGAAATTTCCGTATTGAACCTCCAGGCCTATTTCGAGGCCGTGGCAACCACCCTAAAATGGGCATGTTAAAAAAGCGCATTATGCCTGAAGATGTCATCATCAACTGCTCAAAAGACTCAAAAGTTCCTGCTCCTCCAAAAGGTCACAAGTGGAAAGAAGTAAGACATGACAACAGTGTTACTTGGTTGGCATGCTGGACTGAAAATATCCAAAATAGTTTCAAATACATAATGCTGAATCCATCCTCTCGTCTTAAGGTTAGTTATACATCGAGATTAACACTTATTTTCCAGGGTGAAAAAGATTGGAAAAAGTACGAAACTGCTCGTTGCCTACACAAGGTAATCGACAAAATTAGAGCAGACTACCGAGCTGATTTCAAACACAAAGAAATGCGGATACGCCAGCGGGCTGTTGCGCTATATTTCATCGATAAGGTAAATACCCCCTAACTTTTAAATTACTTTAATGCAATTATAAAAACATGAGTTTTCTGAAAATGTTTACCATACGGACGAAATGTGACAACTAATAACGAGCTAGTGTGATGATCGTTAATACGACACCTCATTATTAAATACACACTCAAGATCTTTTCATCTTTCTTTTTGTTTAGTTTCTACTTATTACAGAGATATGTTACTGGTAAATATCTTATTAAACACTCATTAAAAAGCCTTATATATATGGGCAACATTGATGTTCTGATTAAGGGTTCATATCGCTTTTTGAAATGTTCTCCATTCTTTAATAGCACAAACACCGCTCATAACATCAGTCAGGTAAAATGCAGGGCTTAGATTTTCGATTTCGAAAATACAAAATATATGATTAAGTACCTTTTTTTGGAGTGGCAACCTAACCATTAGTTAAGGAAACACTTGTAAGTCTTGATATTATAATCGTTACTGCACTCATGCTCCTGACGATCATATACTATATACAGCTACTTAAGATACTCATCATTTTTCCACTTCCAATTTTAGTTGGCTCTTCGTGCTGGGAATGAAAAGGACGAGGATGAAGCTGATACTGTCGGCTGCTGTTCACTTCGCTACGAACATATCAAACTTCATGAAGAGTTGAACGGACAACCTTACGTTGTCGAATTCGATTTTTTAGGTAAAGATTCTATTCGCTATCAAAATGCTGTATCTGTTCCTAAACGCGTCTTCAAAAATGTCAAACTATTTCTGAAGAACAAAAAAGAAAATGACGACTTATTTGATCGACTTAATGTAGGTCTTTCAAGATTTTAGTATTATATACAAAACATTTAGACGAGTGTCCTGAATCAGTATTTACGAGAACTTATGGATGGTTTAACTGCTAAAGTATTTCGTACGTACAACGCAAGTCGAACTTTGGAAGAGCAATTGGAACGGCTTACTAATCCTGATGATCCTCCTCATGCTAAACTTCTGGCATATAATCGAGCAAATCGAGCAGTTGCTGTTCTCTGTAACCATCAGCGTTCAGTTCCGAAATCTTTTGCAAAATCAATGGAGAATTTACAGAAAAAAGTAGGTACAATCTGTCCAAGTTATACCGATAAGTCAGTTTTAAAACGACAACCGAAAAGTTATTTATAAATTTTGTAACTAGCCTGTCATTGCTAAAAACTTTTTCCGTGTGCTTACTATCTTTTCAGTATTCAAATTACACTGACTTTATAAGTGTATACAACCTTAATTTTAAACCTATAACATTAACATATCTCTTACCTAGATTTGATCAGCATCAAAAATGGGAAGTTAATCCTGTTAGTTCACACTAAGCAATTATAAAATGTCTATTCAACAGCCTTTTTTAATGCGCTTTAATAGTGGTGCTTATGGTATTCTTCCTTCCATCTAACAAAGCCTGTTAGTGAAGTGTGAGCTAAACTAAACTTGTGTTTTTTCTTTGCACCATCAGAGGGATGTTGACATTTAATTGGGTAACATATTTACAAATTCCAACACTAACCCTTTAATTTCCGATACCAGATACTAACTTTCCAAGAAATTGAAGTGTCCAAGACAAGATGCATATTTCTAGTGACAGTATCCTATAACCGAAGTTGAATTTGAATGGAAAATACATCACACAGTAGTCGGTTCAAGTTATTAATTGATTACGCACCTGTCATTTTAGTTCGACTCAAAATACCTCCTTATTGTTTATTTTATTTTTCCACATTCATTCTCTTATTTTCCTGAAGTTTATTTTTTTAAAAAATATGCAATTTTCTGGTAAATCCCAATTTATTGTTTGACAAAATATTTAAATTGTCATGCACAAACATGAGCGGTCTAAAAAAGGTCAGATTTGTTAGTGCCTTGCTTACATTCTCGAGATGTTGGAGTTTAATATCTGTAAGCGAAATCCCTTTGCCTTGTTTCTAAACGATTGTCACCCAGTTTGCCCTGTATTCCTTTACTTAATACAACAAACAGATGAAAACTTTATCATCTACTGGTGATATTCATATTGCTTTTACCGTTCAGCTTTGTAAATTTAACAGTCACGGTTTACTGTTGCGTCCAGTACATATGCCCTACATTTTTATGGGTTAAGGGAAGTATGACACTACTAAAATGCTCATTTTTTAAAGATTAACAAAGTATTGCCTTGTACAGCATAATTTTATGTGACAGGTAACTGGAAAAGATATCTGGCGATAAGTGTTCAGTTAAAATCATACATGCTGTTCACCGTTCCAACAGAAATAGGTGTTAGGGCCTGGTAAACAAATTCCTAAGTGTCTTCTGTCTGCTTTTGTTTACCTATACTTTATTTGTTAGCAAGGTTTTTTTCATTTGACAATGAGTTCATAGTTTGTGGTGAATGTTAGATAGTACTACAATCATTACTACATAAGCATCATTTTATTATTAGTGTTTTTTCATTGTGGTAGATCAGGAAAATAAAAACTTGTTTACTATATATTTCGTTTCGATCCTTTTCAAAATTTATACGTATCTAAATCTGTGTTTGCACTGATTTCATATTTTGAAGGTTCAAATACCGTACAATTCCTCATCTTATATTGCAGATCGATGCAAAACGTGAGCAAATTTCGGAAATAACTTCTGAAGCTAAACAAATAAAAGCAGATTACAAAAATCACAAACAAGCATCCAAGAAGGTCGCTTATGAAAAGCTGAAGAAACGCCTAGCATCTGCTAAAGAGGCTTTATCAAAATTGCAGCTTCAAGCAACTGATCGAGATGAAAATAAAGAGATCGCTCTCAGTACAAGTAAACTGAACTACCTCGATCCTCGGATTTCAGTTGCTTGGTAAGATGTGTTGTATTGGTCTAGCAGGATATCATTCATTCAAAAGATCATATTCCTTATGGCTATATGTATATATAAGCCTCTTCACAATTTTCAGCTTCGTTTGACTCCTGGAAAATGACGCTAGTGGTCATTCAAAGCACCCACCAAGAAATTATTGTTGGTGACTCGTTCGCAAATCCACCACATTTAATGCTCAAATTAAAGCTCAAGTTTTCATTTGCGTTTATCATATTTTTAAATGTTTGCTTAGGGTCATTAACTAGTTTCTCTATGTGAAATTTTCCTCCAGAATTTCGACACCGTTTAGATTATTTAGTAGAAATATTGAAATTGCGGAACAAACTTCTCATCCTACTTCAATTCAATACATTCATCATTCGTTCCAGATCATACCTACTAAACAGTAACAAAGAAATAAGTACACGAGCTTAAAACATTCCACATAATTTAAATATATAGTGGATGTCATTTGTGGAATAGGTTGGAGAACGTCAAACAAGTTTTCTGTATTCCCGTTAACAATGGACTGTCCAGGAGCTGATTCTAGACAAAAGTGTAAAAAAGTAAATCTTAAACTCAGAACTATTTAGTTCTTATCTACGAGGTCAGTCGTAATTGTTTCGCCTCATGTATTTTCGCTTTAGGTTTCTTATCATTTCTACATATATGGCGAGTTGATACCTTCGTGGCACCATATTTTTCAAATACGATGTCATTAGTTATTGTTATAGGTTCACCAGAAAACAACTAATAATTTCGTCATGCTATATATAAAAATGTCCAACACTAAGCAGTCTAAGGTCGAAATCCTTTCACATGTTTTTTTATTCTCTCATGTTTCATGGCTAATAAGAACATCAGTAATACAACTCGTTTGGCCTATCATTTGAAAAAATAAGCGATCAAATAATCATAGGTAAATAATTTCTAAATTCTAGGCTTGTCCTCCAAGCGGTAGATGTTTGTTTTTCTGAATATGAAGTTAGACCACTATTGTTATAGCCTGTTGTTTATACAAATATCACCCAAACTGTAGACCATAAAGAAAATACATTGTGTTATATTATTACAACCAATTATCCCAATTTCAATTTTCTCGGTTCCAATCAGCTCCACATGTGTTGATCTTTGTTTTTGCTAGTTATCTATTTTCAAGTCGCAATTATTTTGTATTCCTTTTAAAAAGGTGTAAAAAGTATAACGTTCCTATTGAGAAAATTTTTAATAGAACTCAAAGAGAAAAATTCCAATGGGCAATAGATATGGCTACATGTGACTACAAGTTTTTAGACGTTGATTCAGATAGAAGTACAAATAAACTCAAGGCTGAAGAAAGTGATGATGAAGATATGATTGACGACGAAGACTGAACAAGAAAAGAAAATACTTCCATACAATGTTTTCAACATTAGTCTATTTCATAATCTTGATTGTATGATTATGTTGAAGTTGTTAACTAGTTCTACTCTAATATGAGTAATCTCCACGTGTATTTTTGTCAGGTCACAAAACTCCACTGTAATTTTATCCTGAAGCGTTTACGGCACATTTGTGTCATCTTATGTTTTTTGTACTAAATTGTCTCTTCTAAACTCTCATCAAGTATACTGGAAACCTTTTCAACAAATCCAGACGAATTTGCTTTCTTGATAACCGTGTAGGAATTTTGCATTGTTATACTTAGTATATTATGATGTTATAGTGGCAATATATACAACTAATTAATAATAAATACTTGCAGCAATAGCTATCTTTCTCTATTCTTTGTGTATGAATATAATGTATTTTCACAAAAAATGAGTTTATCATGCCTTCAAATCTTTAAATGAAATACCTTTTACGACTCTGAAGGTAATTATTTCACTTCAGGATTTCTATTACTTTCCCGTTTTTCTTGTATTAGCTTTATCATGCATTCAATTATTGTGTGGGATCTATGTACGTATAATTTAATGTGAAGCCACATTATCTTTACTCGATCATTTGTGTTTTTATGTACTTACTTATTACTGATTTTTCATGATAGTTCATTTACGGAAACCTTGGTGTTATTACAGTAATGAATTTGTTGTATTCATTTCGAATATACTGTTCATGTGATAACCTGTTAACCATCCTTTTTCCCTAGGTTGTTTAGAGTAGCTTCGTATGGGTCCATAACATTTTAACCATAGTTACGTACATATTAGGCACCTCAATAATCACTGATATCACGGTACTTTTAATTCATGATATAATATATTGTATGCACCCGTTCTTCCTTCCATGTCGAATAATTATTGTTTTGGTTTGGTCGCCCCTAACTTTCTTCCAACATTAGTCAGCATTGCGCGTCGTGGTAATCGGTGTTCAGGTATACGTAACAAGTGGTCCGACCATCTCAGTCGGCCAAGATTCATAACCTCATCAGCTGATTTACCATCATTCCCCTATGCCTTGCATCGAATCTCACTATTACTTACCCAGTGATCCCAGCAGATGCGAGCAATATCTCCAAGACATCTGTGATCAAATACTAGTAACTTACGAGTATCTTATACTCTTAATGCCCACGTTTCACAGCCGTATAGTAGAACAGAATGAACTGCTGTTCAGTATACTCGTTTCTTAATTGATAGATGGATATCTCGCCTTCGCCACAGGTAATGTAAGTTGGCAAAAGCCAAACGAGATTTCATCAGACATCAACACATTAAGGCTGATCAGACTTCCGAGATAAGTGAAGTTGTCGACGAGTTCGACTACTTCATTCCCTATCCTTGGTTCGGATGTTGATGCAGGCCAGTCCTGAAGTAACAGCTTGCATTTAGAGGGAGAGAAGCGCATCCCAAACATCCTGGCATTGTTGATTAGCGCTACGAAAAGACTATATTTTATCACCGTCTTCACCAAACAGGGCTATGTCATCTGCATATTCTAAGTCGATAAGTGGACCTACTGGTAGGAGTTCAATGCCTGAGATTTCAGTGGAAGAGAAGGTTATTTCCATCAGTATGTCTATGACGAAGTTAAACAAAACAGAGTGGAAGGCCTTGACGGACACCACTTGAAGTTGCAAAAGCAGATGACAGTTCGCCATAAGTTCTGACGACTGATAGTGTTCGAGTAAAGAGCCTTCACATGGTTTATGTAGTTCTGAGGTACGCCTTTCAATGACAGACACTGCCGCAGAACCTCTCGGTCTACGGAGTCAAATGCTGTCAAGAAAGACCACCATTGTCGGACGCCGATAAGTATGCCTGTGTTCTAGAACCTGACGAATGGTGAATATGTGGTCTATGCAGCCACGACCAGGTCTGAAGCCAGCTTGATTCTCTCGTGTTTGCAATTCACGAGTCTTAGTTAGGCGTTTGATAATTATCGAGGCTAGTATTTTAGATGCTATATTAGTTAAACTAATCCCTCTATGGTTGTCACAGGATGATTTTGATCCTTTCTTATATATATGGACAGTCAATGATTGTGACCAGTCAGAGGGGATTACGTCCAGCTTCCAGATTTGAGCTAAAATATTAGTCAACCTAGTCGCTAAAATTGGACCACCATCCTTAAAGACCTCTGGGGCTAATCCATCTGAACCAGGTACCCTTCCTCGTTTCAGATTAACTATAGCCTTTTGAACTTCGGCTAGATTTGGATGACCTACTTCTATGTTCCATTTACACTGTCTGGGAATGGTGGGTAGTTGTAGAGTAGCTGAAGGCCAGCTGAACTGCTCCTTAAAATGTTCTGTCCATCGTTCTAAACGTCTGGACTAGGAGCAGATAAGTGTCATATTTTTCCGAGATAGTCTCACTTACACTTGACTTTTTAGTTCCAGTTTCTTTTATTAGTCTGAAGAGCTGTCTGGTGTTACCTACAGCCATCGCCTTTTCCATTTATTTTGCTTTCGTTGCCCACCACTGTTCACGGTCATTCCTTAGACTTTTGGTTAACCTAGATCTGATTTGATTTCGCACTTTATCGTGTTCAGAGCCTGATGGGCTGAGTTTATGAGAATCCATCAGTGCAATAGACTTACAAGAAATCCATTGGTTTTTTGTAACCCTTTTGTTTAGATCACTAACAGATGTCACAGCAGTTTCCACAGCTGATTGTATATCTTTCCAATTAACATCTGGGTCAGCCTCGCTTTCAGGACTGCCTAAATGTGACTTCAGTTGTTCCTGGAATATATCTTTGGCCTCCTCATCGTTGAGTTCAACTCTAATGGGTCTTGGTGTGATTTTGCTGCGTCCAGTGAGGCGCAAGCAAATGCGTGCTCGTATTAGAGCATGATCAGAGTCTAAGCAGGTATTCCAAAACGATTAGCAGTCTTCTATTGAGCCTCTCCAACGATGACTGATGGAAATATGGTCTACTTTAGTCCATCGTTGGTTTGGTGCAGGAGGTCGCCATGTTAGACAATACCCCTACTTATGCTTAAAAGTAGTGCGTTCTAAAAATGAGCGATTATCTGAGAACAGTTGAAACAGATGGTCACCGTTATCTGTTCGTCGAGCCGGAATACTAAAGTCTTTCTTTTTGGTTTAAGCTACCTACCAGAGTATTAAAATCACCTGCTACGAGTAATATGTCTGGGCGTTTAGCTTTATAAAGAAGTTCAGAAAGCCTTCTGTAAAAGTCACCTTTCACTACATCCGAGTTGAAATCAGTGGGAGCGTAGGCAGAAACGACGAAATAGCAACGACGTGTGTTCCTATACTTCCGAGTTCTTACGGAGCTGTTTAGCCGAACAGGACATAGGAGACTGTTAAATGGGATCCATTCTAACACTATTTGTCCGCCGTCGTACTTGGTGCTATGCCTACACATGCCAGTCCACGAGAACTAGCCATCGGGTCGCCAGATACACGGAGGGTGTATCTCGTCGGCTCTCCGTTTTGCCGAGGTGAGGTCAAGTGAATGACCACACTAGAATCCTGTATACGTGTTTCGGAGACAGCATGCATCAACGGTACAAGATCTTAGGGTTTTAGCCAAGGATGCTTGCTGGGCGATTTGACATAGGTGTGTAAGTTGAAGACTCGAATGTGTAGTTTGGAGCGAGGTTTCAGTAGACCTGGGACAGTGTTCCGCGTACTAGAATCGTTGGCCATGATGACACATGAGGAGAAAGCCAAAAGAGGAAGTTTAGAATTGAAAGTCGAGGTAGTAGGAATAAAGTGGATTGAAGAGGGAAGTCGATCATTATGCGATCTTAGGTACTGTTAGAGGTATGAGGGTGGTTTCAACTTCCCGGTTGCTCACACCGTGGAAGGGTTCTTCTAGAGGTACCTAAAAAGGAAATCGGGTTAGAGGTGGTCTTAGTGACCTGAGAGAGTGACCACAGTACCCAAGGGACAACTACTTGAAGTCGGTCACATACGACCTTTTATGAGTAGCTTTCATGTTAGCCCCGTACTTGTTGAGGCTTTACTATCGGAGACGGAAATCCGTGGGATAAGGTGAGGTGTGCATTTTTAGGGTCGACCTTTTCTAACCCCACCCCTCCTTGTGGGAAGGCGGCATCGCTGTTATGCTAGTTGTCTGGAGGAAATGCCTTACCGCCATCACACCTCTGTACGGTCAGCAGTACGACTTCGCCTTCGGACCTTGGATTTGTTGCTTTTAGTCTTACCGCTCATCAACCGACCTGTCTGGTATGGTAGGACCTTGAGGAACAACTGTTCCAGCCACTATAGCTCGATCGGTTCATCACGATAGGCAAACCCGACCACCACATCAAGGCAGCGGCAACGATCGGAATTTCATAAGTGCACTTTTGAACGTTACCATTTGTTGTTGTGTAAAAGAACAATTAAAGCATCAGTGTTGTTTTCCCTAAGAAAATGTTCAAGGGTAACAAGAATTTTTGTGCATAGTGGGCTTCATACACAATACAGGAATAAATACAGAAATAAATAAGGAAATAGTATCTTGAAGTTATTGTTATGAATTACGATTTGATAGGTAATGCACAGTTTGATGACTGTCAAAATGAGCAATTAGGACGGTGATGAATAAATAAGATTAGTTTTTTCTAATAAAATTAAATGCTTATACACAAACCATTTACAAATGTATGATTAGATATTATAAGTGATTGGAATTCGCCAATTTCAGGAGTCACTATAATTACTTCTAATCTGACTTGGGCTTAGTTCTTGCCCACTTTATATATACACCCCTGGACCCAATCGAAGTCGAGAATTAATTGCTTAAGAAACGACTGATTAAGCGCGTTCATTAATTATCTTAGCTCTGGAGGAGATTTGAACGCCTACTTTGGCTGTATGCACCAAAGAATCCCAGACTTAAACAAACATAGAGAAATTATACTGCTAACCAAAATGCTAAATTCATTGAATTTCTACGTTTCATGGGGTTTGTATTGTGTTTGTGCTGTTTGGTAGCCCTATGTTCTGACGTTTGTTCATTTGAGGTCTTCGGATCAACAATTGTAGTTTCGTGAGAGGTTGTTGCTCGGTCACATTTCAGATAAACGAAAAAAATAGATTGGACACTCGTTAATGGTATACATTCTTGGACCTTGCAACTAATTGAATGTAAATTCTGACTGCGTGAATTATCTTAAATTCAAATAAACCTGTCATTGTACTGAACTCTCTATGTTATCACGTCTGTGACTGACGGCGAGTGTGTACAATACTCATTCTGTATATTTAGATTACTCTTCCCTGTGCGTCAAGTATATCTTGCATTTCACCGGCCAATTAATTCACCACTGTAAATTGGTTGACGTCTATCAGCTCCACCTTGGTACCAAAATATCAAACCGAACTAGATCCTAAGGAGGCTTACAACTGCCCGAAAATTGTTACTGAACATTTGGTGTTTTTACAAGATGCCATAGAAATATTTTATAACTTCGTTTGGGATTTCTCAAGACGTGAGTTACGTAACTTTTTCCCAACTTCTGGATGCATATAGGCCTATTCCGAACGTTTGCAAATACAGCAGTGCGCATAAATCTTACACTTGCTGGTCGCCGTACCTGGTGACTTTTCTGTGTTCACTTCTAAATATCCAGTTAAATTATTATAGATCCCAGTGATCGTTATTCTAATTTAGTAGATATCGAACTGATAGATTCCGTCTAGCATGGT